TCCTTAACATTTGATTTCTTTACATTATACTACAGCCTGTCTCTCATTCCCTATTTCTGTCCCTCATAGAAGGTTCCCACTGTTGACTGGTCTATAGCATAACCCACCTGTATATAGATATTAGCTACTAAGCCCTACTGCCTAGGTGGTAGGCAGAGCGTGCATAGTCTCTGACTGAAAAACGCTCTCTAAAAATGGAAGAATAATAATAATAATATATATATAGGCTTGGGTAGCCGGGGACGGGGAGGGTTGAAAGCCCCTCGAGCGGAGCGAGGGGTTTAAAGCTTGTAAACGTCTCCGTTAGTACTAGTGGCACTACGGAGTAGATCTATGGGCGATTGGTGGATCCCCAAAAAAGAATACCCCGTAAGACCCTTAGGGCCTTAATGCCAAGTCCGGAACACAGCAGGATCTTGTTCAGTTTCACGAAAAGGTCTCCTTCTCGACTGCAGTCTGATCAACGCTATACAAATGATGTAATCCCCATGATCACTGTGAGATGTCATTTTCTTAATAATGCTAAGTTCGCGGCCTTGGCAAATATTCTATAAGGAACCATATCAAGGCGGACCAAAACCTGGCTTATTTTGTCATATCCTTCAGGTATTTCACATTAATCCAGCAATCAAAAAGAACTACTCGGTGGAAACCAGCAGAAAACGTATCGTCGACAGCAGGCCGAAGATCCATTATGAGAACTATGATAGCCAAGATTTTTCGAAGCCTCATCCACTCGTCGACGACTCCTTAGTAGAAATCGTGAGCGGAAATCGTGATCCAGGCGTTTCGATCAACTCATACGGAAAACTTCGTATAACATCCGACGAGAAGAGTCACCGAAATAACAAAACAGCCTTGATTCTTTCCAGGGCAAGCTCTTCGTTGACTATATATGATTTTCGGAGATTACTAGGCTCTGGGATGGATGAAAGTGCAGGCGAGGGCTTTGAGGAAGGTGATTCATCACAAGGATTTCACTCTGTAGCGGATTGCTTACAAAATCCTGACAGTCTTTCCTCTTCGTCATCCCCACTCTTTGGAGCGGAAAAATTCGTGGATTCTCTTTTTCGAGTCACCGGCACAAGCTAAAAAATACCAGGACAGAGCATCTATACTGAAGGCTTTCGCTGCACAATACGCTCCGAGACCCTGTTCCAGCAACATCTTCCCATCACCTGGTCTCACCGTTGAGGGACAGTCGATAGCATTTAAACCACAAGAGTATACTATTACTTCGCCCTTTCAAGACCTGTCTCTCGTCGCTCAGTTGTCGCCGTTCGACCATAAACTGAGGCGCGCGATTAGCAGCCATATCAATGTACTCGGCCCAGATCTGATTGACAAGCAGTCATTTCCAGTCAGGCTCTGGGTTGACTTTCCCGGTAGACCGATCTTGAGTGTGAACGCGATCCAGGAGCTCCTCGAGTTGGACAGCCTGGAGCGGGGCCACCCCTGGCGATTATCTTCAAACCAAGGCGCCATCGTACGCATAGAGAAAAACCCAGTTTCTCAGTCTTCTTCCGGGACCTCTGATGAACCATTGGATTACTCGACAAATACAGTTGCGGACAATTGGCGAATTAACTTTAAATCCGCATCTGATGCGAAACGCTTCGCTCGCTTGTGGCACAGAAGGCGTCTTCCAAAAGTTGATAGTCTCCTGTACTATAATCCGCACATAATTGTAAAGGCCGAATGCCTTATCTAATTGTAGATCATATATACTGCGCTTTTATTCTCATCTTCGCTGCCCGTTCTACCCAGAGAATACTTGATTTTTGCATGTTGCTGACTGCACTTTGGTGCGAAACATACAGCGATTTCAAAATAGTCTTTTCGTGATCACTTCTTATCATGAAGCAGCTGATCAGTCATCTTTGTTTCTTACTCGACTTGGCAAGGGTGTAGGTTTCCCATTGTGCAACACTGCGATTGACAGAGACGACAGAAGGGGTACAAAAAAGGAGTTCATCTAGTAGACAACAAATAACAAGGATACTAAACTAAAGCAAGATTGGGACATAACCAGCCACATTATTATTCACATGGAGGGATCCAGATTGAGCTTCTTCCAGAACTCCTCTGGGGCTCTTACAACGTTTGAATGTCGAAGCACTCCGTAATAGGAGCTGAGAGGGCTATAACTGCTGCACCTCAGGAAATACATCCTATGATCAACAGCACTTGCCCCCGAAATTGCCGTTCGCGCCACTGCCATGCTGATCTATACTGACTCCCTGAGCGCCAGCTTGTTCCGATTTTGACGTATCCATGACCTTCTTGATTTCCGAGGCGAGACTGTAGAAAGCCTTGTCGACATTGATATTATTCTTGGCTGAGACTTCGAGAAAAGGGATACCAAGCTCATCAGCGAGCCGCTGACCTTGTTCAGTTGACACTGCTCGCTTTTCTTCCCAGTCACATTTGTTGCCGATAAGAATTTTGTGAACGCCCTCGCTTGCGTGCTGCTCGACATTTGAGAACCAGGTCCGGATGTCTTGAGAATAAACCCTGATCAGCACTATCTTATGAAGATAGATGTTGGTGACTTACTGTTAAACGAACGTTCGTCTGTGACATCATACACAAGGAGTATGCCCATTGCTCCTCTATAATAGGCAGTTGTGATGGTTCTGAATCTCTCTTGCCCTGCAGTATCCCATATTTGCAGCTTCACACGCTTACCATCCAGTTCAATTGTGCGGATTTTAAAGTCGATCCCGATGGTAGTAATGAACGATGGTGTGAAGGAGTCCTCACTGAAGCGGAGCAGGCAGCATGATTTGCCTACACCAGAATCACCAATGAGTAACAACTTGATCTGTTCCAGTTGCAGATATTAGCACAAGTAATAGAGGTTACCTGGGAAGAATATTCTTACCAAGAAATCATAGTTTCTTGTCCCCGCCATGGTAATATCAATAACTCTGATGCAATAGTCGCCGGTATAAGTGTGCGCTTATAGTGAAACTCAGAAGCGCACGTCAATACCAGTATTCAGTCTCCAAATAAGACCTCCAGCACACCTTCTGCAGAGAGGTGCTGCCACCATTCGGTGGCAAGAAGACAGACTTCCCGATGGTTTTGTACACTGGTTTGTCCACTAGGGGCTAAATGCCAGGAGATGCCGGGTGCCTTAAGATGATCGCTACAGCTGATTATGGAAGTGCTGGCCACCAGAAGCTCCACGATCAGCGCATCAACAACACTTGGCTGGCGATGATATCAGGAGGTTGAGACAGTCCGGTTGAAAGTAACTGAGAGGGATATCTGCTGTTTGCAAGAGGCTTGTAAGTTGGAAATCAGACAAGGTTGGTTCACATACGGTTCCTGGGGTCTTAGCGTCTGGGTAATTACCTTAGGTACTACTCCGTAGTTACCTAGTACTACTTAGCGGAATCTCCACATACCTGTATGTAGAACAGCACAATGGGCCCTGTGAGAAAAACAGCAGGATACCAAGACACATACTTCTCAATTGACAATGAATGTTCCCTTTTTCCTCCTTTGTCTTTTCTTTTTTCTAACATATTTACTATATAACCTGTGCTTCATTCCTATCCTTTAAGCCAGCAATTGGGTACACAAGACGCTGAACACCCTTTTATTCTTCCCTCAAAATCACCGGCGCTAGAGTTTGGTCTCAATTGACTAGAATGGCAAGTAGTAAAGTTCAGGGAAAAGTTTAATTTCGAGATTTCAAAGTTTCAATTCAATCTGGTCAGCCAAGGCGCACATATTGACCTTGCCGAAGCATAGATTACGGTGAATCGGTTGTATTATGACACATGGTTGAAGCTTCAGCATCGCCCCCAAAGTACTCCTCTGAAGTTGAACGAGCGAGACCAACACACAGCTCCGCATCAGGGGGCACTTAGTTTTTAGTGAATTATAAATACCTGCAAGACCTTGAAGTATACTGTACAAATTATCGTTTCTTGACGAAATTCAAGGGAACTAAGGCACCAACCTGACAGCTTCATGTAATAAAACTGCCCTCGACCGAGTTACTCATATCTATTTGGAGTACGCCCATTGCATCCTGCTGACGACCTTCAGTTGTTTATCCACACCGCGGCCGGCATCCATGAGATCCTCTATGTCTTCTCTGATGTCGTGGAAAACCGATTTCGGTAAAGTATATTTTGCTTTGTGGCTCATTGTATGGACCTCGTAAATGAAAAGCCCATGGTCATTGTAAGAAAGAATATATTATTGGAACCAGAAGACCATGTTAAGATCCGATCAATGTTTCTTCCAGTAATATAGTTACCATCAGTCATACAGATACCTACCTAGATAGTAGTCATATGTACCGTAGTGCACATCTCAATCCATCTGTCTCCTTCCCTTTTTGTAACCCCCTTCTATTGCTAAGAATGCTACCAATCCAGCGAAACGTCGCATAAGTCACTAGGATTCCTGGTGTGAGACCTACAAAGCTAATAAAATGTCAGCTTAAACACCCTCTTTTGTAGAGGGGACACAAACCCAAAAACAAGTTCCTGGCTCTTGAGAAGCGCGCGTCTATGCCGCTGATTGCTACCTCTATGTCAACCTTCGTCCTCTGGATCTGGATTAGAAGGGTACGGATAAGATCCATCCCCTAGTAATGTTCCAATCAAAGGCCGATGCAAGTCTCGCTCGTAAGACCTCAAAAGAGGCGTCAAATCACCTTCCCTTACATTAGTAGAGATAACGCTGACATCTGTGCGGACCTTCTCATGGTTAAGGTCTGCGTGGTCGAGAACAAAGTCAATGACCATCCTTTCCAGACTAGCACGATCAGCTACCGGGCTATTTCTGCTCATGATTGCAATTTCACTCTTCCCATCATGTCAGATCGTTCCAATTAACTTTTCCGTCGGCTTCACAACCCAGTTTGTCCAGAAATCAACCACACTTAAACCGAACTCGGAGAGCCAGGTGAGAAGTTCGGCTTTTCGCTCGTGAGAATCCTAAGTATTATACTTAAAGAAAGCAGGACTGTAGAAGCGGCAGCCAATACCGAACAAGGAGTGAAGGGCGCCCGTGTTTGCGAATCAAGGTTCCCGTGGACGACGCATTTTCTTGCAAGCATTCTTGTAAAATGCAAATGAGTCGTTCGATAACATGGATCGGTTGGACGAATGTCCTCTCATCAGCCTGATTTTGCGTGCATTGAATCTCGTTTTCGACAGTTGTGAACACACCATCTTCAAATTCAGTCACGGCGACGTTAGGATCAGTCAAATTCCGCAGGATCGTGTCCATCAATAGAACGCTCTTGTACACGATATTGTGCCACTCGTAATCCGACGGACTATGCTTTCCAGAATCGTTCAAGTCGTCCCCTACTCCAAATGCAAGACACTCTTCCGCCAAAATCCCGATACTGCTGGCGTTTACATCTCTCAGAATCTTCAATGTCTGCTGTCTTCGCCGCACCTCTGGCCTACAACGAGCAAACGGTGACAATATCGAGGACTTTGCGTGCCATTCAGAACATTGTCGAATACTGTGCTGCGCCAACTCGAAAAATCTCTCCCACTTGACGGAAATCGAGTTAAGCCGCAGTTCGGCTTGGTCAGTGGAACGGCTCTTTAAAGTTGAATAAAAATCACCCGTCTGGGCCCACAGTCTAGAAGGAAGTGTTTGCACAGTGTAAAGCGTGTATAACAATAGGATTCCAGAATCTCGTCCCAATACCGGATCTCCCTATTCAAGGCCAATGATCGTTCGAGGAGTGTGCTCATGGCACTACCAAAGGTCTGAACAGCGACCTTACCAGCCAATAGCCACATGAGATTCATCTCATCCCTATAGTATGGACCCTTAGAGGATGTCCTAGTTTGCTGGCTCATGTTGACTGCGAACTTGCTTGAGGACATCCAATACTTTCCGCCGTTGAAGCAACGGCAGACAAGTCGACAAACTCCGCACAGCTGCTTGTAGAGCATTTATCTCATGGGAAGGAGGAAGGGGATGCGTAACGTCAGCAGATTCATTAACTCTATTATTAAAGATTGCAGAAGCAGCAAACTGGTTCGTGGAATGCAGCTGAAGTTTGTCGATTTCTACGTCCAAACGGGAGACAGTCCTGTAACTTTTTGTCAGCCTAATAGATCAAAGATTGATGATTAAGATACATACTCCGCGATTAAGGACATGTTTATTTGTTTAAATTATCAATTGAGCAGGTAATAATGAGTAACAAGACTCGCTTCTAGCGGTTCATATTACCTGGCGAGTAGTGATAAACGGACGCTCAGGAAGTAATTCTCCCTACATACATACGGAGTACGTACCTTGGTACCTAGGTAGGGAGGTATATGTCGTCATCATTTTTAACAAACCTTGCAAACAACCCTCGGAAATATGTCCTGTCCATTACAACAACCTCTTTAGGAAAGCAGATGTTGCAAAGGCATGGGAGTGTCTTAAATTTCACATACTCCGTACCTCTGTGGAGTTATATTGCACTGTCATCGATTCTCAAATATTATGTACTGCTTCATGTCTTCTAATGACATTCAATACATTCTCTGTATCAGAATAACAATAAACAGTACAAAGTATAAACATGGATGGTTAGATGGCCATGGTGACTGACTGTACTGCGCAACGTGGACTCCGCCAAGTTCCGAGGTGTTTTGGCTGGGACTCTCCTGTCAGCCGATTCCGGAAGCCAGATTGCCGAACCATAGGACTTAATCGGGTCCGATAACAACGCCTGTGGACCCCTATAACATTATTACTCCGTAGGAGTGAGATTCAGTATTCTATTATTAAGAAATAGACACCGGTCAGTGCAAATTTTAATGTCAAATTTACATTGTACCTTGCAAAAAAAAGTCAGGCTAAGCTTAGGATGATTTTACTCACATAATTATTTATAGCACTGGATATTTGGAATTGGAATTGATTTTTGTAATCGCCTTTTTTCCCATACATATTCCGGAGTATGTCACCATGTTTGGCTTTATAATTCCTATCTAAAAAATTTGCGAAATGTTTGGTATCCTAGTATGGTTCTAGCATTATTTTTTATATAATCAAATTTACTCATATTTTTTGTTTATGGGAAAATAATAAATTCCGTGACTTGCTTTCCCTGGAAATTTTTAGAGGTAGTATCCCTAAAAACTAGTGTTCTACGATGTGCACACAATCCCTGATCTATAGAGTATAGTGTACCACGCCACTCGGGAAGTACCTGCTTATTGTTGCGCCACTCGGATGTGCCCAGGGCCCCAGAACTTAGGGACCATAATTAATCTTCGCGCCAAATCCTTCAAATACAGCCGCCCTCCCTTTCTGAAAATCTTTTGCATCACAACACACCTTTCCTTCTAGCAACCATCTTCGAATTGGTTGCCAGCAGTCCAGTGTTCAACCCCCGATATAAATTTACAGAGAATATTGCTGCTAGAAAAAAGAACTGCATTGCAATTGTGTATTCTCGAAACATTTCACGACATCAAGTCGGGAAACATGTGAGTTTTGAACTCCGTGACCCTATCAGATCAAAATGCTAACTGCAATCAGGAACTCCACAACCTTGCTCTCCCAGCCCCCAGAAACATACTGGGGGCAATTCGAAGAGATTTCTAAACACAATGCGCACCTTAATGTTGCAGAGCGACTATGGGCTGCATGGTATGCCTACATGCAGAATGATGTTCTGGCAACAGGCATCATGTCATTCTTGATGCATGAGATTGTCTATTTTGGCAGATCTTTACCCTGGATCATCATTGACACCCTTGGACTGTTTCGGAAATACAAAATCCAAAGTGCAAGTTAGCTCAATCCCTAATGTATTGAATTTCCATGCTGACTAAACCCACAGAACAAGGTGCCATCGGCACAGGAGCAGTGGACTTGTGCCAAGCTGGTCCTCCTTAGCCACTTCACTGTTGAGCTACCTCAAATATGGTAAGTGATCCATTTCATAGATGAATTGTCTGTATGCTTACCAGACATGAAAAATGATACAGGCTCTTCCACCCTATGGCACAGTATTTCGGTCTTTCTACTACTGTGCCGTTCCCGTCTCTCTGGACCATGGCATACCAGATTGCCATCTTCTTTGTTATGGAAGATACTTGGCATTACTGGTCACATCGTGCACTTCACTGGGGCCCTCTTTACAAGGCCATCCACAAGATCCATCACCAGTATTCTGCACCCTTTGGATTAGCGGCAGAATATGCATCACCTATTGAAGTGATGGTACTTGGATTTGGCACTGTTGGTTGCCCTATCCTTTGGTGCGCGATAACTGGCGACCTACATATCCTCACAATGTACATTTGGATCGTTCTGCGCTTATTCCAAGCCATCGATGCGCACAGTGGGTATGAGTTCCCGTGGAGTCTTCATCATTTCCTCCCATTCTGGGCTGGAGCCGACCATCATGACCTTCACCATGAGAAGTTTGTTGGGAATTACGCCAGCAGCTTCAGGTGGTGGGATTATTTGCTTGATACTGAATACACACCTGATGCTGTGAAACGAAGACGGGAGAAGAAGTTGCAGAAGAGCGGTAAGAAAACGTCATGAACAAGTATCATCTGCTGGGGGTGTTGTTACAGTATCCAATACTGTAACACAATGAGTAGAGGGGGTATACCAGTCTTGATCTGCAGTTCTACCTTTGTTCATCGAAGGCCAGTGGCTATCTGGACAGAAACATACTGTGACCAACATACTATTAGTGTTATTATACTAATTAGCGAAACTAATAGCAATTCATACAGCTGTAATGTAATAATAACAATTGTTGATAGTCAGGTTCTGATTTACTCGAGGTCTCTTTCACCTAGCTGCGTTACTACTAATTTGCGAATCATTCCCGATCTTTCAAGAACCCTGGGCCTGGTAATTGCCTAGTTACCCTGCAACATTTTGATTACTATTTTCCATGGTGTCTGATGCCAAAGGTCTATGTCAGCCACAGACCAAAGGTACTTGGTCATATGACCTTTGGGCTGGGGTTGTTTAGTAGTCATATCCTACAAACTAATTAAAAAGATTAAAATCCTTCAGGAGGCATTAAGTCCTTTGAGACCTTAAGAGTTAGTTCTAATTAGGGATGCCACAGAGCTGACTTGGCTCAGATACAGCCAGGGGACAAAAGTCCCTGCCAAACTAAGCCCTGTGCAACACTACCAAATTACCCCCTTTTCTAAATATTATTATTATATACCCAATTTTTATAGAAATATATTAAAATTATAGTATTTTATAGAGAATTAGAAGTTTAGAGAGCGTTTTTCAGTCAGAGACTATGCACGCTCTGCCTACTACCTAGGCAGTAGGGCTTAGTAGCTAATATCTATATTATTATTATTATTATTATTCTTCCATTTTAGAGAGCGTTTTTCAGTCAGAGACTATGCACGCTCTGCCTACCACCTAGGCAGTAGGGCTTAGTAGCTAATATCTATATACAGGTGGGTTATGCTATAGACCAGTCAACAGTGGGAACCTTCTATGAGGGACAGAAATAGGGAATGAGAGACAGGCTGTAGTATAATGTAAGAATCAAATGTTAAGGAACAGTAGGTATAGGTGGATTTAACAAAGAAAAAGAAATGAGAGAAAGAACAGAAAAAAAAGGGAGTCAGGATAGGAGAGGTGGCT